TAATAAAAATATTAATGTACAATGTATAATTTTCAATTTATATTAAGTAATAACTAATATTAATAATATTTAAATTTTATTAATATTTATTTATAATTAATAGTAATAAATAACAATTAATATTACTGAGATTTATAATAGAAAAAAGTGATAATAAGATACGAAAACGATATTCCAAATAATGTTTCAATAAGCTAGCTTATGTGCATCTAAACATGTACCCATAAAATAAACTAACTTTTTTTTGTCAAACAATGTCTAATTTCATATTTGGAGAAAATACTTTTCCCTCTCCTACTTTCTCCATTTTGGAGGTAGTTTTGAGGAAGTTGTTACAACAAACTATTGGCTCAAAATCCCCAGGTGCACTTGTTTTTTTTTCCTTAATACTGTAAATTTTTTCATTAAAAATAAGATACATTTTAACAAGTTTAGAAATAACCATAGAATTCTTTTGATAAAAATAAACACCAAAATCTAGCATATTATTTAAAACAAAAATTTAAGCACCAAAAGTGTAAAATAAGTACAACATTCAATTTTAACCGTTTATTTACAATATTATTTATATTATAAAAACATTTATATATTTAATAAATGTTTTTTTTTCTCTTCAAAACATTAATTTCAATAATTCTTGTAATAAAAAATTATTTCTATAGAAAATTTCTAATTTAGAGATTTTCATATTATTTTTCCGACTTCTAATATTTTAAAAGAAAAATCTTAAAAATCTGTTACAACCAAAAAAATTAACCTTAAAAACCTAAAATCTTAATTTCCGTCATTTTACAGAATTTATTTAAATAAAAAAGATGCCCCAAGAAACTGGTAAGTTGTAAAACCATAGCTTGGTAATTACCATGTGATCAAATGTTATCAAACTACATGTTACGTCCACACAAAAATAACCAGTACCGATGAATTTTACAAAAAGAATAACCATTATATAACTCTTATTTTGTAATTATTGTACGCCATGTATAATTATTGGACCATGTACACGTCATATATTACTATCACAAGACATATAACGACACATACCTGATCTTTGTCCCAGAGAGTAGAGCAGTTGTTTAGATGTTCTTGATCAACCCTCATAACGGAACATATATAGAGCAATGTCAAGGGTTCATAAGCACCTTGTTGTTCACTCCGGCTCTATACAAGTGCAAAGTTGATTCTGTAGTTATACGRACCTCGGTCTCTGCAGGTGCAAATAAGGCACTTCCTTCCGACACTCTATCTTCAGACGATAATGTGTGCATTGATCCTTCTCCTGATATAACCACGAAAATGGATGGACCCGGAAGTGGAGGAAAGACAATCGTCGCTCCTTCGTCGAGCATACAACGATCAACCTCGAATTCCTCAAAAGGCGGGGTGTACCTTCTCGTATACGGATTCAAAGGAACACCTTTCAAGATTTCAGGTAACCCCTGATACATCAAAAACGTAACAAGAGGATGAATACATTATCCCCAAGCTTCGTGAAAACTGCAACATTTGACCATGCGAGAATATGTGGACCCCTTTAGATTACTCTCGAAAAGACAAGGAAGGTTCCAAGATTTATAGGTTAGACAAACATAGACTATCCTAGAGATAGAGGCTGTTTGGTTGGTTGTGCATTAATTTCTACATGGATAAAGTTGTCCTTGTGGATTAAACTGTTTATATTGATTGGAAAGGTTTTTGTTTAGGATTTCATAGATAGAAGGAGCGTGTTAATCTAGCTGGGAGGGGCATGTTTTGTAAAAAAAACTTGGTTTTCTACATAAAGCTTCCCTGAGAAGCAAACTGAATAAGCCACCACTACCAAACAGTCATCTATAGCAGACCAAATAAGCTGTAAGCCATTAAGCTGCTAACAAACAGGCCTCCTAGACATTTATGTGCTTAGACCGGTAGACATTGGCGAGGAGAACAGGGTCCAAGTCAAGTCAATGTGGGACTCTAACATGTTAATTATCTAAAATAGAGGCAAAATACAGTTTATCAAGAACATGGAAACAAGTGATCTGCTTTTGGGGGTAGAGGTTAGGTCTAGGTACATTATACCCTCCTGGGCCCCACTTCCAGATAGGATATACCGGGCTTGTTTGATTTGTTGGTTGATCAAGAAATGAACAAGTTATACATACAAATGCCRGAATTCTCACCTTACCTGCTTATATGTGAGCATGGAACAAAGGGTTTCTACATCAATGTACTTTGGAGTGAGGCCTGCACGAACGACGTTGTCTGAAGCAGCCATGCACTCAACACACTCACCATTCAAATACGCGTGAGGTTCGTTTGCTGCTATATACAAAGCTTCACCGGGATTCAGCTTCACATGATTAAGGAGGACAGCCGCTAATACTCCAACATCATCCGGATACTGCTTCTCGAGCTTCAACACTAGTTCTTCCTTATCAGTTAACTGCCTTGTCTGAAAATTTTAGAARAATGAAAACATTAAACCAATAAGGTCAAGTGTGTGCTTGGTTGAGGGTAACAGGGGGCGGGGAAAAATGGAGATCATTAAGAGTGCTTTTTGTACACTGTATAATACTGAAAATAACAAGGATCGTTCCACGTTTGGCAGAAGCTTTCTTTATGTGGAACAAGCGAGTTCCATCCCATCCCATGGAATATGGTGGAACAGACTTATATTTTACCAATATAACCTAAAAAAACCTAGTTATCTTCCAAGTTCTAACATATCAAATGTGTCTTCCTCTATATATTTTGTTCATTTTTTTAAATTTTATTTATTGTACTTTATACTCTTTAAACTTTCACTTTACTGTTCTCAAAATATTATTTTCATATGGTTTCCATATTTTGGTTAATTATCGTAATTTATTAAATATGAATAATAATAAAATAATATAGAAATATATAAAAAAAAGTACAGTCATGTCATTTATACTATATATAAAATAAAAATTGGAAACTACATAAACTTTTTATTTTGGTGTCATTTTAATCTTTCTTGACAAATTTTTAATGATATATCTTGTTATAAAAAAATGTTTATTTTAGTATAATTTAATAAATTACATGAATTAATCAAAATATATAAAAAGATATAAACAACTCAATAGGAATAAATTGGTCATTTTATATGTTCTGTCATGTCCAATTCTATTCCATCCAATTCTGTCTTATTAATGAACACTTGTTATGTCAAATGTCTAGTCCCATATGCACCCTAATGGTGTCTAGTTTGATTTAATGGAATGGGCCATTACCAGATACAATACAGGGTAATGAAGTATTTCTCAACATATTAAAGGGAATGAAACTCTTTCCCATTTCTATTCCCCTTCAAAAACAAGGTTATATGAACCCCAATTGCAGCAACTTATGAAGTAATATGCAATTAAAACAAGCACAATTTATACTGCAAGACCTTCAACAAGAAAGAAAAGGATTTAGACAAAGGATCATACCTCTTTTTCACTATTTAGACGAGTAATCAGTTTGGACAGTGATTTGGAAATCGTCTTCTTATCTACTGACATGAGTTTAGTGAATATTGACCGAAGAACCCGCTCTTCTTTTACCTCCCCATTATGCTTGTCGACAGTTAAGACTTGGTCTATA